TAATCCTGTCATGCGAATGTCCGTCTCCTTGTAGGCCCCTGCATTACGAGCCGCGCCGTCAGCCGCACGAACGAGGAACGTGAAAATGAGTATAATTCTACTCCAAAATCCATGAATTTTAACCGCAAAACAATTTTAATATAATAGTATTTCTATGTGTGAATTAATTTCGAAAACCACAAAAAAATTAAAAATTATAAATTTTTGTCACTCTGGTCCAAAGTACATTTAAATTCAATTAATATTTGGTGTTGATGCCATGCCAACCCAAGTAGTGAATGAGAACTAGGATCAATTAAACATACATGGGCCCAAAGAAATATGGGACCACCATCTGACTCCCGCTAAGGAACTGCTTCAAACAAAATAAGAATTATTAAAATCTGTCTACAAGGCTTAGAGAAATACAGGAAGAACAATAAAAAAAGAAATATAATGATATATAAAATTCTCGTGTCACAATATTAGTTACCATAATCCTCCAAAACGATTTGACCGATTTTATGAAATTAATTTTATATAGGGTGACTGACCCAATTATCAGCACTTTAAGAATTAGTCCTAACTTAAGCCCGTTTATCACAATGAAAAATGCTGTTTCACCCGTTATGACGATTTCCTAGTTTCAATATTCAATCAGTAAGATGATTATTTAAAAAAAAAAGTTTATCTTTATCCAATTTTTTTTAGATGGGCAAGAGTAAAAAATGACTATCTTACCATTTACTAGCACCATCACCACCAATTAATAGCATAGAGTGAGCCAATTAACAGCACTATGATAGTGGTATTGAAATTATATGAAATAAAAAATGGTATTTAGTACCTATAATCTCTTTTATTGACTTTTTTTTAATATAGATGGGTAATATGTGACTAAGGATAAAAAATATCTATTTATAAACTTAACAAAGTTTCATATTATTATCATGTATCATAAATATATGTCTCTTGTGTTTGTTAGCTTTTATCTCTTTTATTTTGTTTTCATTTGTCACTTGTAGCTTGTTTTCTATTGTCACTTGTATTTTATTTTCTTTAGTCCCTTGTATTGTATTTTCGTTTTTCTCCTGTATTTTATTAGCTTTTTTCTCTTGTTTTTTAGTAGCTATTGTCTCTTTCGCTTTTTTGTTTATTTTATTTGTAGCGATTTCAATTTTCGCGTTATTTTTTCGTCTTGTTCAGTAATCTGTTCTTCTTACGAGTCGCCTGTTCTTCTTCTTTAAGTTGTTTAGTTTTTAATTTGGTGTTCAGTCTTTTGCCATTCAGCTGAAGTAAGAACGAATGATGATCTCTCTACATTTTTAACACCTTTTCGTTCAGGCGTTTTTTCCGTAACCAATACGTACTGTAATTTTACTGGAGTTAGTAAATATTGTTGACTATCAAGACATAAGAATTGCGCACTTCCAAGACAATCTTCAGTATTGTTAGCAGATAGTTCATTAGTGGCTGCAGAGATCATAGCTTGCATTTCATCTACAAAATCTTCTGCTATGATTACTGGAAATTGATCAATATTGAATAAGTCGATAACAGCTTCTTGGGATGTGGACATTGTGGACGCATCAGTTTGATGCATTTGCATTTGAAGACTCTCAAGCGGCGTTCTTTGTAGAAATGTAAATTTTTCTTGCCCTACAATCTTTTCTAAAGTTTCACGTGTCATAACTCTATCTTTATTAGAATCTTCTTGTAATTTTTATTTGTCTTGTTTTGGTTCTTTATCATGCTTACTTCCTTTACCCAGATATTTTTTGTAGTTGATCGCTTCAGAGTTCCAGGGACGTAAGCCAATAGTCCTGAATGCATTTATCACTGCTGTATCTTTGACGCCAACCTCTAACTAAAAAAAAATCTTTGTGAAAGTCTCCAAAGGGTGATCTCTATTTTACTTTCCTTCCATGCATTTTTGAGAGGTCTAAAGGCTGACATGTGTCGGCTGGCTTCAGAGCAATCAAAATAATGTCCCAACTTGCTGCACAATTCACTCACTTCAAGACTAAGATGTGTTTTGTGCCCATCTACAAATAGTATAGTGTGAATGGATGAAATACATTCTTGATATAATCATAGAAAAAATCACATTTAATCTAGCCAGTACAGCTTAAACCAACGCCCCATTTGTGGCTGATTATCTTATATCATTGGGAAACCTCTTGTTGGGAAACAGAACTAGTGGAGGTGTAATATCTATCTTTAAGGCAGTTTTGGCTGCAGCGTGATCAACTTCATACACGTCTTTTTCTCCTCGTAATAAAATGACTTTGCCACTCTTGGGATATTACTGAAAGTTAGATTCGTCCCCATTAAAACACGAGACGGGTTCTTGTAGACGTAAAAGTAGTTGTTTTCCTTAGGATAGAACTCAATTTTGTGGAACCTCTTTTTGATGTCTTCTTCTGATACATTAGCACTGACTGATGTTACAGTTTCGTAAATGCGTTCGCTGAGTTCTGGATGACGGCACATAAAAAGGTCATACCATTTTCTACCAGATATGTCAACTTTACAGGTTATCTCTTCCTGTCGTCTTTAAGAAACTTGCTACACTCAATTGTCAATCAGTCTGTTTTGGGAATCCTTTCCGACAGCAATCTAAAACCCACTTTACTAAAACTTCCTCTTCATCGTTCGACAATATTGGATCAGGGTCTGGTAGCTTCTTGCATGGCTTTCTTAATCGCGACTGGATAGTTCATCTAGGTACATTGAAGGTTTTTGAGGCCAGTTTTTTGGGCATACCCTATTCTAATGCATCTAAATCTTTTAATAGATTTTCGTAACAGTATTTTTTCTTTTATTTGGCTTATTTACTTCCTTTGGTTTCATGGTAGGTGGGTCTGAAAAAGGAAAAAATGATGAAATGCTAGGAAATCCAAATTATCAGCATGCTTTTGATCCAATTATCAGCACTATGCTGACAAATAGCAAATGTTATTTCAGCATTATACTAAGATTTGGATTCCGAAGGCAAAAACTACTTATACGAATAAAATTGAATATTATGCATCAAATAAACACGGTTTACAATTAAAAATATGGAATAAGTATTTACGTACTATTTCATCATTCCATTTATCAGCTCCAGTGATGATAATTTGGAATTCGCAAAATATTAGACCCATATATCAGCACCACATTTTTTATCAATATGTCACTATAACCTCAAATTTTTCTTTTCAAACTATCCTCATAAATTAAATATTTAAAAGATCTATTAAAGTATTTAATGTAAATACGTGAACTTACCTTCGATCTCTAAGAACAGGCAAAAATAAAACGAGCTGCAGGACACAAACGTATTTTTACAATTTTTTATTGCCATTTTGAATTGGGAAGTATGGTATTGCCAGGGATAGGATTCCAAAAACAACAATTTATTTATTTTTTAAAGTGGACACCCTTAGTTAGTGAAAACCTTATTATTTTACTATTTATTCAGAGTGCTGATTATTTGGTGCAGTGCTAGCATTTGGATCAGTCACCCTACATATTCAGTAGGTCTGAGAATAAACTACTATCTATTTTTAATACACTTAAATGATAAGGGTTCTCCACCCCTAACATTTATTTTTATTTTATGGACCAAATTTTTATTTATATATTTTTTTAAAATTGTTTTTTTTATTGATTTTTTTTTTATATTGAGGCATTAAAAAATACATACAACCCAATTTTTTTATAATTCTACCACCAGCCCCTATTTTTATGGCAGTGCGAAGTTCGCTGGGCCAGCTAGTATAGTGCGATTCAAATAAGAATAGGAAAGCCAATGACCTCCATCTGTCAAATGTTACTTCAAAAGTACGGTTTGCAAAAAAACTTGGAACCCTTTTTTAGCACTCAGCAAATACTAGAATAGAAACCACACATTTGTAAACAAACAATCACAAATATTGATGATTAACATTGGTTGATTTTTTTTTTCATTTATTGAGCTTTAGCCATGAATGGTTGATAATCTAAGTCGTCAACCAAATGTCACTTTAAGTTGCGTTCAGAAACTCGATTTAAAACTTTTGTTTACATAAAGGATGCATGTTCGTATGTGATCTAGTAATAGTGCATGGTTATTCATAACTACTCTGCCGGTAATGCAGAGGTGAGCGGAATTGAAGAGGTAGATTAATGTTTTTTTTCACAGTCTTAATAAATAAATATTATTAAAAATTGGTTGTTTTATTTTTCTCAATTTTAGTAAATAAATTTTAATAAAAAAATCTGATGCTTTTCTCACTTAATCTTAGTAAATAAGTTTTATTAAATAAAAACTTTTTTGCTCACTCTACCTATTTGGTTTGAATTGACAGATATGACGTCACAATATGGCGCCCAGTCGGTGCTATTCTTAGATGAATCGCATTATATAAAGACAAATTAAAATCTTCCTCTTTTTTGATACCTAATAAATGTGCATCAAATATATTACTAATGCACCACTACTTCATTAGCATAAATCTATTGCTCTTCTATTCATCCCATCTTACTAATGTAATTATGTGAAAGTTTCTAAGTTTGTTACACAGTTAAGCAAAAAAGGGTTAATGGATTTGAATGAAATTTGGCACACACCAAGGGAAAGGTAATGATTGAGACATAAATAATTTTTATCATATATTTATTATATTGTTATGCATTTAACAGCTAGATTAAAAGATTTTTTTTGTCAAGTATATTGTTTTAGATCCAGAAACTAATAAATTATAATTTAATTGTTGTGAGTCCGATTTCCCAGAGAAATGAGGTGAAGCCAAAAAAAATTAATCTCACTTGCTATGATCTTGTCAGACCTATTTCTTTTCTTAATTCTACCATTGTTTCTTGTAATATTAAGTAATTATTGAAATATAAATAAATTAAAAACTAATCATAATAATATACTTGTTATTTACAAATAAGGATTAGTTTTCCACACATGAAAGAATAAAATCTGGGAGGGAAGTGATTTGCTATAAAAGTAGGCTGTTATTCTGTTTATTCAATTCAAAAATACTTACCAGAAGCATGCTCTTCTAGGGGTTCATACAGTTCATGTTCCTCAAGCTCTTTTTTTAGACCGCTCCAGAACATAGGGAGAGTCCATCTGGAAAGATAAATATTGCATAAGAATAGAGAACTTGTAAAAAAAATATCTACATAAATGTTTCTTGATGCCAAGACCAGTTGAATTTTTGTAGTAAAAATATTCTTTTATGCTAATATAAAAGTGTAATGAAAATACTTAATAAAATTTAATTCCGCAATAACCACTAACACTCAGGACAAATATTATCCTTTGACCAGTGGCAACAAACATAAATAGAACTGAGATTTGTTACTGCCATTTACCAATGGGGTTGGCACCTGAAAACACTGTTAAATTTCCTTAAAATGTAAGGTTTATGTTAAGGATGAGTCTTAGTTTTGGTTGATTTGTAGATGTATGACTTCCAGAACTAGGGTAACACACACAACTTTGCATTGACTATATGCTTAACAGTGGCAAAGCCAAATCATAGAGAATTTCATTAATAATGAAAAAGAACATTGTTTTCTCAAAACAATACTTATTGATAACTTCGTAATTTAATGTAATGTGTAATGTTATACTAATTTGCTTACTTTTATATTTTATGTTTAGAAGGTCAATGTTTTAGGTGTAAATAAATACTTACGCAAAAGTTAAGGCTGACAGTGGGTTGGCTGTAGATCTGGGATGAACAGGCCGACCTTTTTTCTTAGATGACTCCATTTTATAAATCTAAAATAAGAAAAGTTCCATAGTTGAGGGTATTTCAAAACATGTTTGTTAATAAACTTTAAACACTAAAGTTTCAGACAATCTAGAAAACAAAAAATATGCAGAAAAGCGGCAACAGCAGCAAACTAGTAAACTGATTTTAAAAATAAAAATTAACATTTATACAGTGTCATACTTACTGTTCGGATACTAAAACCTGGTATGCATTAATGCGGTACTCATAAATAAATTATATAACACTGAAATACACTGTTCTAAATCAACTTTGTAGAATATTTTTAATTTACACGATGCACGGTGGTTTATTCACAAAAAGAGTTATTCGCGTAATCCACATCACACAAAGATCACTGGGCAATTTAGGATATGCAGTTTTAAAAATACTGGCTTTGAAAACTGGGTAAATTATTTAAATTTGGAGGCCTAAAAAAGAGAATTTGTGGCTCGGTTTTATTCTTAATTTTATCGGAGTCACAAACTAGGTATAGAAAATCTACACGCACCGCAAAAAGACCGCAAACACAAAACGTCGAGCCAAAAACTGACGTTTAACCGACTGCGGACTGACTGACTTGACTGGTGACTGATGCTAATGAATAAGAATGGATAGAATGAATGAATGAACAATAGATAAAGGTGCGTACAGACTATACCATGGATGAAAGTGGTATCTAATCTAAACGTACGTCCATGTAACGCATAAAAATGTTAGCGTGTTTTTGACGTGACAACGTCTTAAATTAGGTTGCGGCTGGGAGTCACTTATAGAAAAAGTGTAACGCTCGGTAACGTTACGATGAGTCTCTCGTGTTAAGTTTAAGTTTACATGTACAATGTTTTAGTAAACAAAATATATTTCTATAGTTAAAATTTGTGCAATTCTTATTTTCATTCAATTCCTTGTTCCTATTGTGCAATTTAATTATATTCATATCAATAAATATTCTACCGAGAAAAAGACGTTGTCACGTAAAATCTTCGCCCGTAAAACCGACTTTTTGTTAGTGTGATGTTATTTTTGAAGTGTGCGAATATTTTTGTTTATGTACTATACGTGTGTACCTCGTCCCGAACCAAAAATGGTGAAAAATTTTGTTCAGTGAGTTAACGGTATGGCATCTCCATTGGTATATGCTCTAAGGTCATTGCGTAAGTTGCTTATCTTCCACGATCGCAGTTCTAACACGTTAACTATTTGCGCCATTGAGCTTCCATAGATACCTTTTTAATACTTCTTGAAAATAATATATTGGTGTCGATTCTGGCAAGATTCTCTAAACCTAAACTTAAATTTGACAACAGTGTATCCTTGTCATTCTCTATACAGAATGAAAAGGAGAGACTGATGTTAAATTTAATTTTAAGTTTAGAGAATCATGCCAGTATCGATACCATTGTAATAATATAATTTGTTTTTCTATTTTTTATTTAGCAAAATCGTCATTGGTATCCGAATATACTGCTTTTGATTTCTTGGTTACAATTTCCTAGGTAAATCTTTATAGAGTTCAGATGATGATACCGAAGGGCCTCGTGATTCTCTAAACCTAAACTTAAAATTGGCAACAATGATATCGATTCTGGCCTGATTAGAACTTAAACTTGACAACAGTGTATCCTTCTCATACTGGTTGCTTTCCAATTACAGAGCATAATGCGACTCAGTGCCGCACAATGCCGAATTATGCTGATGCTTAATTGGAATGCGAATTAGTTTTTAAATGCACCAGCAGAGTGCGCTAAGTTCAGTGATGAAAAAAAAAGTCAATGTTTGTACCTTCATCCATATAAATATTTAATTTTTAACACAGTTTGAATTAACTTTAATTATTTAAAAAAAAAATGATGAAACGAAAGTTTTAATAATTTTTAACAATAAATAATATTACTAACGATAACCTAAAAATAAAACATTTCGATCAATGGTGCCGATTCTGGCGTGATTCTCTAAACTTAAAATTAAATTTAACATCAGTCTGTCCTTTTCATTCTGTATAGAGAATGACAAGGATATACTGCTGTCAAATTTAAGTTTAGGTTTAGAGAATCATGCTAGAATCGACACCATTGGCAACTTAAAGAAAAAACACTTGTTAATTTTCTGTCTCTGAGTTGGTACGATTGCACGCATCACACGAAAGCATCACTTTTGAGAGTGCTCAATTGTGCGAAGCGTTGCTGTAGTTGGAACACTCAACGTTAAGCATTATGCCGCATAATGCGCTATAATGCTGTAATTGGAAAGCAACCACTCTATACAAAATGAAGGGGTGAGACTGATGTTATATTTAGTTTAAAGTTTAAAGAATCATGCCAGAATAGGGTATTTGACAAGTTTTAGAAAACGATCTCACGTTATTGACTAATGTTTATGGAGTCCGTAAAAAGTGGATATTCATCATTATGTTGTGTATTTCAGTAAAAATAACCAAATCAAAAACTCCATTTTCAAGTTGCCGTGAAAATGTTTCTCTGGACAATATGGCGTCTTACTAGTGTGTGACGTCACACGACTGTTATTAAAACGTCAAATGAAACAATATAATGTCACTTTAACAGGAAGTTTACTTGCATGTGATGTCATTTTAGGCTCCGCCAATCCCTAGCGTTTTGGGACACGTGACAATAGATAAGAAAACTATTACCTTTTTCGTGGGTTTTTGAATGAAATTATGTTTTTTTTTGTAAAAACAGTAAAAATCATTGTCTATAATCATTCTAAATACAAATGCTAAGAATTGGCACTTTCAATTCAATTTTTTGGTGATTATGGCTGCGTCTCATTGCGTGACGATTCTGCCAATGTCTGGGAATTGGCACTTTATTTTTAATACTGTCAAATACCCTATTGACACTAGTGTATACTTGTCATTCTCTAAACAGAGTGAAAAGGAAATACTGATGTTAAATTTAGTTTTACTGTTAAGTTTAGAGAAGTTGTGCTTTCAGAAAAGTAAAATACTCAAGGAAGAACGTATAATCGGTTATTTAATTTAACACGTTAATCTGTTTCTACCGAGCAGTCTTTCTCGTGTCTCTCTCACTACTAGACATTGGTGTCGATTCTGGCGTGATTCTCTAAACTTAAAACTAATTTTAACATTAGTCTCTCCTTTTCATTCTGTATAGAGAATGACAAGGATACACTGTTGTCAAATTTAAGTTTAGGTTTAGAGAATCATGCTAGAATCGACACCATTGGCGAAATTCTGTGTAAAACGGAGAACGCCACAGAATAAGATAAAAAAAAAGTTTAGAGAATCGTACCGGAATCGACTCCATTGATATTAAATTTAGTTTTAAGTTTAGAGAATCATGCGAGATTTGACCGTTAATAACGTTCCCATGGCACGGCAATCGTTCCACAGATAACTATAGTGCCGATGGTTCCGAACCGATTTCCACCACCTTAGGGTGCGGCCAGAGTGCACTCAGATTAGACTGTTGTCAAGTTTTCAAAGAGCAAATACGTATAGCAAAATGACGTTCTTGCATTAGACTGAGGCCCAAGCACGAATTTTTACAGCTCTTTATTAGCATCGCATCGTAAAAGTTTCTATGAAAACTGAACAGCGCCCCTACCGAACGTAAGAATAAACTGGGTTCATCCATACCAAAGATCCATACAAAATTTGACGATGACGAAACGATTACGGAAGGAATTGTCAAAATTCACCCTTTGTAAATAAATTTTAGGAAAGTGCACTGGGAAAATTAAAATGAAAGATAAATTTTTCACTACTGGGTATTGCGTTTTAAGAATATCCAGTTTATGAAAATACATGAGGCATTTACTCGGGTGCCATTCATAAGTGACGAAAACATGCGACGAGTGTCAGTACTTATTGGAAGATGTACATTTTAATAAAAAGGCACAAAACTATGATACTGGTTAGCATTTTCTTCTTTTATATTGGATGTGGACTAACTCTGAGCTTCTTGAGAATAGAATGCATTGATGTAGTATCTACAACTACCGAACAGGATTTCACTGAATCTGCTGAAGTAGAATACGCTGTGCTAGTGTTATCGGGTCCAGAGAACGAAGATAGGCGAGACGTTATAAGATCGACATGGGGCAGGTTTTCTGAGAATATATTTGTAGAAAATGGTGAAAGGCTTTATAAATGGAATCACACTTGGATTGGTGAAAGTAAAAAACAACCTCTCATCAAAGTATTTTTCACAATCGGAATCAGTGGTTTGAAAACAGATAAACTGGATAAATTGAAAAGAGAATTAAATAGAAATGATGACCTTTTGCTGTTAGATTTGAAAGATAGCTATAAGGCACTAACAAGCAAAGTTTTGTCTTCATTGAAATGGTTAAATGGTAATTTAAAGAATGTGAAATATGTTATTAAGTGTGATGATGACTCATTTGTAAGAATTGACTTAATTGTCAAAGATCTAGAGGCATATGCACCAGAAATGAATGATCGATCATTGAAAGAATATGTTTCATTCAAAGTAAGTGAAGGTTTTAATATGTTAATTGCTGTTTATTACAAAAGTTGAATTTATTTATTCTGTTTACAGAGTAGCCTTCCATCTTATAAGGGTTTATATTGGGGTTATTTTGATGGTAGAGCAAGAGCATTCTCAAAAGGAAAATGGCAAGAGAATACCTGGTTCCTGTGTGATACATACCTGCCTTATGCTCTGGGTGGTGGTTATGTCATATCCAAAAGTATAGTCAAATATTTAGCTCAAAATGCAGATTTTCTAAGGTATTTAACTCAATAAGTATATTACATATTGATATAGATCCATTACATTTCAAAATCAAACAAATTCGGCATTGGTTGTTTGGGCTTATCATCACTTTGTTGCTTAATATTTTAAACTAATAAACTCAGGCATTTATATATATGAAACTTATGCAATTGCTATGCTAATTAATTTTGCAAAAATTGTTTTTGATATCCTAACTAAAGTAACTTAGAAAAGTGACTTCTTGTGAATGCTGATGATTTTATGCAATTTGTAAAATAGCAATAATTAACATTAACAACTCAATTGTATTATAGCTCGCTACAAGCTATAACCAAATAAAAAAAATGTCAAACCCTTTTTGATTGGTTAATAATTTAGCAGTAAGTTCTGCCTCAAGATCCAAGAATAAAGAATCACTCTTACCGCTATATCAATTTTATTTCTATTCTGCCTTTACTTTACAGTCTCTACAATTCAGAGGATGTTTCGATGGGGGTGTGGACAGCTGCTCTCCATAGTATTAACAGAGTGCATGACATAAGATTCGACTCTGAATGGATATCTAGAGGCTGCAGTGAAAATATGTTAGTACGTCATAAACAATCATCTGGTAATATGTTTCAAATGTATCGGACACTAGTTCAATCTAATGGAGAGAAATTGTGCAAGACTGAAGTATTAAACAGGCAATCATATTCTTACAATTGGAATGTATTACCCAGTAAATGTTGCAGATGATTATAATTCTAGTCCCGTGTATGGAAATTATTTATTGTCATAAATTAAATAATTGGAAACATTGTGGAAAATGTTATTTTAATTTTTAAACAATTGAAAACAATATATAAATGTCTAGATTTTTCACTTGAGGATCGATGGTTGACTACTCAAGAGATTGATTCAATAAAAAGTATATTTAAAAATGTCACTGTGCAAACAAAAATTATAATTTTAAGATAAGAGAAAACACACCTCTTGGTGCCACCAGTCTAGTATCACATTTATTATAGGATTATTTATCAAACTTTATTTGTGTGGTTTGACATTTATATCCATGTATGTTTGATTGTTGTAGAATGTAGTCCTGGACAATTCTTCCCTAAAATAGTCAATTGTTCTCTGAAGCCCATCTTTTAGGGACACCTGAAACAATAATAATAATAAATTATTCCCAGATTTTTTATACAATATGGTTTTACAAATAACAGGCACAGGATATTTTAAAACTAAGGATCTGTGGGTACTTAAAATAGGAAAACCCTGTGACTTAAGTACCCACTCTCTTCCAGTGACACAATATAATAAATTTACAAGACACCACATTGTTTAGAATTGATTTTAAGTGAAAAACTAAAATTTAAGTTGCATTAACAAACAAACAAAAAAACACTTAAACAATAATAATAATAATGATAAATATCATTCTTATTAAATAAACTGTTTAACAGTGCGAAAATAAGGTACCAATTATTTATATCCTTATTATGAATTTTGGCAACAATATATTATTCAGACAATAAAAAAAAAGCTTAAAACATAAATGATCTACTTCTTTACTAGATCAATCCTTATTTGTCTACCTCTTCTCTATAGTTATCGGTTTACGTGTTACACCCTGAAAGTAGTTTGTTACAAATATGCAAATGAATCAAATTCAGTAGTCGGCGATGTCTGGCCGCCATCCCCGTGCTGCGGCCCCGGGGACTAGATTCTGTATGATCAGCGTATGATACTCACCTTGGGCGCCCAGTTGAGCCGCGCCTCAGCGACGGCGATGTCAGGCCGCCGCCGTTGCGGGTCGTCCTCCACGGCCGCGCCCGTTGCCACTGTGCTACGGCAACCGGGGACTAGATTCTTTATTATCATCGCGAATTCTGGAACAATACAAATAAACCTTTATAATAATTGGTGCTGTACGTTTAAAAGTCGGCACTTCTCAGAGCCAAGGCAGACAGTGGGTTTTCCCTTCGGCGCAAAATAGTAGATTATTAACCAAGGGGATAAAGCAATGTCTTCTGTCGCGGGTGACGATTTAAATCGAGCGTAACGAAGGACTCGAGGTTTACTCCCGAGCGTAGCGAGGACTAAGACAGCTTTATCACTGAGGAAAATACTCTACTTTTCGTACCATTTGCGAAAAAATTAACACAATAATAATATGAGATAAGCATTTATAAAAAATAATGACAATTAAAAGTTAACATTCAGTTTAACATTGGTCCAATTAAATACGGCCTCGTCGGTTTTCGTAATTTTATTAAAAATCATAACTGCACAATAAATGCTTATTCCTTTTTCAAAAAGATGTACCTATAATGCTTTATATACAAACTCAATGGTGTAAACACAGATGTAGTGCAGTATAAATTTCGGTAAGTATTCCAAACTTAAATCACATTCTCCCCCTAGAGGATGAATGAAATTCAGTACAATTTTCTTTCCCTATTTTTAACAGATTAAAAATGACTATTGTTATGTTCGCTTTTTGTGGCATTAGTCCAAGATTTTTAGATGTCCGCTCTGCATAAAATCCTTCTACGTCATTTTTCGATTGGATTATGTCGGAGGGTGCCCCCCAAGTATAAAACCGAGTTTCTGTCGCCCGAAACTGCGAGCGTTAGCCGCCATCTTGGAAACCGTTTTGAAGTGAAACTTCTTTATCGGCGTTGGAAAAAAATTTACCGTCACATTTTTCGGTTACGCGTCACATTTTTCCGTTACGCGCCATCTTTTTTTATATTAATAGTTGACTCGCTCAGCCAAACTCGCATAGCGATACTCGCTCAGCGGTACTCGCTCAGCGATACTCGCCCAGCGATACTCGCTCAGCGATTCTCGCTCAGCGATACTCGCTCAGCGATACTAGCTCAGCGATACTCGCTCAGCTATACTCGCTCGGTTAAGCTGGCTTGGCTGTCAAAAGCCGTGCGCGTGCATTTTAACTCAGGACTGCCAATTCGTTTCTAGTTTCTACTCGCTTATCGTTCATCGTCGGAGATATGATAATAAAATCCTTTTGTTTAAACTTTATCTAATTTTAACTTTATTTAACCAATTTCTGGAAAGTTGCATGTAGATCATTTTTCGAAAAATAAGGCCATAAAGAAGTTTCACTTCTTACGTGTGTACACTAGTACACGCACACATTTTTTTTTGCATATATCTCGGAAACGGTAAGTTTTACGTTAAAAACTGAAGAGATCTTTTTTGTAGAGAACAAAATTTCCCATCTTTTTTATACCAAACTTTTCCCCCTATTGTTGATATTTTCCGATATATTGAAGTAAAAAAACCAAATTTTTTGTTTTTGTAAAGTAACTCAATAATTTTTGGAGATACGAAAAAAATGTTTGAATTAAAGTTGGAGAGCATGAAATTTTCTACAAATTTTGTATAAAACTTTTTCTTGCAAAATGATTAGTTGCTGAGTTCTAGCGCAATAAAAGATCATGAAAATCAGCGGTAAGTGGCAATACGTTACTCTCGCATGCAAACAAAAAGTTAAGTAAATTCGATGTCTCCGCGTAAAGTATTTTTTTTAATTTTACGATTTTTTTTTTTCATTTTAACGGCGTTCCGACTTAAATTACTTACCTTCTGTAAAACAATACTTTACGCGGAGACATCGAACAACGAAAAATTTAGAAATCTAACATCGACGAATAAAATTTATCAAATACAATTTATTAAATTAATATTCTGCGATCCTGATACTTTTCTGTTTGCATGCCAGAGTAACGTATTACCGCTCATCGCTGATTTTTGATTCCTGGTGACAATTTTTATTCAGCTGGAACTCAGCAACTAATCATTTTGCAAAAAAAGTTTTATACAAAATTTGTAGAAAATTTCATGCTCTCCAACTTTAATTCAAATATTTTTTTCGTATCTCCAAAAATTATTGAGATACTTTACAAAAACAAAAAATTTGGTTTTTTTACTTCAATATATCGGAAAATATCAACAATAGGGGGAAAAGTTTGGTATAAAAAAGATGGGAAATTTTGTTCTCTACAAAAAAGATCTCTTCGGTTTTTAACGTAAAACTTACCGTTTCCGAGATATATGCAAAAAAACGGTTTCCAAGATGGCGGCTAACGCTCGCGGTTTCGGGCGACAGAAACTCGGTTTTATACTTAGGGGGCACCCTCTGATATAATCCAATCAAAAAATCACGTAGAAGGATTTTATGCAGAGCGGACCGATTTTTGGTGCTAAAATTCCTGGACTACATAGAATGTCACTTTTTTGAGCAAGTGGTACGAAAAAGATATTTAAAGTTAGTAGTCAATAAATATCGCACTAATATTACAACAGTGTCGTAACTCAAAAAATGTCGAATTTGAGATAACACCATATTCAAACGCTGGATGCGATTCCGCACAAGGCAATAAAACCGTCGTTGAAATAATGCAAAAAACAAATAAGTGATGGCGTTATAAGTCAGTATAGATGACTGACCAACTGTCATACCCCCCCGCTTAATATTGCTTCTTCTTTAGTTGCAACCTACAGTGATCGAGGAAGGACGTGCCGCTTTGCGTAATATTTCGAGTTGTAGTAGTATTGCTGATTCAGGTATGGAAAATTTAAAGTATTATTTTGAATTATTACGTTTTTGCTGATTTAAACTTTAATATGAAATGGGTATATTTAAAGTTAATACACTCTTACTGATTAATACAAGCGATATTTCAAATAATATTTTTATTTACGACATTATTATTGGTTTAGTTATTCATTTTAGACATGATACAGTATTGCTGATGCATGACGATTGCACACCTTTTATTGTTTAATTTGTTAGTATTAAAAGAAAAGCCCAATTGTTTATCATAGTATTTATCACGGTGTATTGGAATATGTTATTGTTAAGTTAGGAAAATGTTTACTAAATATTTTATCTCGTTAATTTAGAGTTACTACACTCTATGTGACACGTGTGCTTTGTATGTATTTTGCTAACAAGAACTTGATTAATTTGCAGAATCACTATTAGTGGAGCGCCGTAAGGCATAAAAATGGTAAAATCTCGGAACCCAGGGCCAGTCAATGAATCTGTATAACAAGTGTTTGACTGTATTATTAAAACCTCAAATAAAAATGTTAAAAAAAAAAATTTGCCGATCTCGATTACAACAATTTTTATAAACAATTTACTGAAAAATGAAAGGCGGAAGGGGGAAAAAATGTTTACAGTAAAGATCTTAATTTTATATGCAATAAATTATGTTTGCAGAGTAAATTCAATGTTAATTTATTAGATTTTCGCAAAAAAAATGATTTACAAAAGATAATTTAACCTTAACTATATCGATTATTGTTCATTATTGTCGTCGTCGTCGTCGATTTCGTTGATGTAGATTGTAGGTAAAGGATTAGTACAGCTATCACCATTGCATTCTAAGCAAGCTGCAGTACAGTTTAATCCACTTTTCCTGCATCCACAAGATGCTCCACATCCTGTTTTGCATGCGCAAAAAATAATTTTTAGTAAAGATTCTGGAGCTGGTCGCTGCGTCATTGTTTGCGGTATCAATATTCCGCGTTCATTTTTCCAACCCCATTCTTCTGGTAATATTTCTTTTCCGAGCCATGTTTGAACTTGTAAATATACTCTTTTGAAGTGTTCGAAAGCGGCATCTGCAGTAGGTGGTAAAGACGGCAGTTTAACGCAGGTATTTTTGGCAGTTGCTTTCAAAAAAGAGTTATATCTCAATGCATTAAGATCTTTCGTTTTTTGTGGGGCATTATATAAAGCAAGAGTGCATGTAACACCAGCCTTAAAAATTTCATCGATGTCTTTGCATTCATTTTTAAAAACTGTCGCAGCATTTTGCAAATCCGTTCGTTTTTCGAAATTTTTTGCAAACACGTTTTTGCCACGTTGAAAAAAAGCTGATGTCGTGTCACATCCAGTGAATGCATGTAAGAACAGAATATGCTCTTTACACTTTGGTAATATTTTTTCTAAACTCTTAGAAGAGTACGCTCTTTGCAGTATTTTGCCTTTGGATGGTTTTCGAAAATAAATTTCTCGGTCTGGTGGTGAGAGCGCAGTCAATAAAACTAAAACATCTACATCCTCGGACACTACAGCAATGTTTTCAGATTGCAGATTAATAGCAGTTTCAATTATTAGTCTGTCGGCATCAGTTTCTGCTTGGCAAGAAAATATTTTATTTTCTGTGAGTGTTTCTCGTAGCATATCTATAAGTCTACTCTTATTTTTGGCATTCGATAAAAAAATTTCCTGCGCTGTTTTTAGTGGCATGGTTTTATCAAATATTATGTCATTACATGCGTTTTTTTTACAGCGACGCGTTCGTTCCATTGATTTTGTGCAGCTCTTCTTGTAACCATCAAATACGACATAAATGTTGTTTCCATAATTGTTATGTAGATATCTGACATAATGTTGACAAATTGTACTGAAATTTTCATCTAATTGCCACTTGCAACGATGTAATAACATCCCTCCATCAATGACGTAGGAAAATTTTCGTACATCGTTCACATCCACTGACACTTCTGGGAATATGTCATAAAATGTAGATTTTGTTGTTTTTCGTATTTCACCATCTTCAAAGAGAGCAAGAGGATAAGGAGCTAATTCATAAGTCAAGTAGTTTTTTAGTTCTTCATCAGATTTTTTTAATACGCATATACGCTGAAATAATAATAGCGGATCAATTGGAATAATATCATCATCCACTTTGATTTTGCTAGTCGATGCCAACAAAGGAATGATCTTGTCTTTCCTTGATAACTTAACTTCTTTGAAATTTATTCCATTAATTTTCTTCATTATTTTTAGACCTTGCTCAAAAGCTGCGTAGCAATTCACGTTTTCTTGCCCAGTTATTCCAGTTGC